TGCATGTTCAGATAAGAAGGGTCGGATCTTTCTGATGTTATAGAGTGCGAATCTGCACGATCGAGCAGTAGAATACACCATTAACTAAAATAAATAAATCACATAAACATATTGTAATTGATATTTCATGTTAGTGAATGCATTTAATGTTATTAATGTAAAGTAATGATAAAAAATGGGGGCTCAGTCCATCCATTTATCTCTAAATATTAACTTTTTCAGGGCACATCCCTTCTTCTCCTTCTTTTTTTTCTAAAAGCAAAGGACTCTAATGACTAGGCATGTCACAATTCATAAATATTACATTCTTAGTGTGGGTGGTCCAACGCATTCAATAATATTCTGCTTCAGTCTGTAAAATCTGCCCTAACAAGTGTGTGTGCTAGACCTTAGCTGCACTGTAAAAAATGTTTGTGAAAATAACAGTGAAATTCTGTAAAATTGTGACATCTAAATTTTGTAAATAAAAAAACAAAGAAACAGCGTTAAATTTACAGTATGGTTTTGTAAAAAATAAAAATACAGTTGTAACACATTGAACCAAATTAAACTGTTAATTGTACTGTAAGAATGTGTATCAATAACAATGTTTATTTGTAGAAAATACCGATCACTGTTATTTGAATAGTAAAAACATGTAATACTGAAAGCTGCTGTAAAAATTACAAAATGATAAACAAACAAAAATCATGCTATTACAGATAAAAAAAAAGCTTGTGTAAGCAAGTATAACAATCACAAAATGACCAAAATGATTATGCTATCCTTACACATATCATTACATATTTACAGATTTTAAATGAGGGGTTTTAAAAGGCAATGTGTCTGTTTAGAATTGTCCTAATGGTCTATTAGCTATTTTAATATTAGGCTTTATTGCTAATTATCATATTTAATGTAGGCCTACATAGAAAAATAATTGCTATTTGTCCGTAAGGGTCCTTTATTTGTGAACACATGTAAAATATAATCGTAAATCCACTGTAATTGACAAAATATTTTTTTTAAACAATTTATTTAATAAAATTATGAATGTCTTGTTGTTATTTAAAATGTGACAGCGGTGTTTTTCTATCTAAAATATATGTTTTTGCGTAAATCAATGTCTGCGTTTGAATTTCAAACTCTGTTCTGTTTTGTCCAATCACTAATCTGATTCTTGCGGGAGCAGCCATTTTACAGACGTTTATGGATCTATAGTGAGAGCGCGCGCTCAATCTGTCCGGCCCGCGAATGAAGCTGTGGAAGACGTCTTGCAACATTTCTAAACTACTGAGGCACTGGTAAGTTTAGTGAAAAGTTCGTTTACTTTAAACGCTTTACCATAAGCACCCGCCAAAGAGGAGAGGGTATTATTTGGGGTGTCGCACGGTCGTCGGAGTAATAATGAGTGGCACAATGCAAAGGTAACTCGGCCCCTTGTCGTATCGTACTACTAACGTAACGTTAGCTGAAAAAAAGATTTTTTGGAAGTCTAAAGATGATTACGTGTCATTTTTGCAACAAAACCCTTGAGACACTGAGAGGCTATGTGTTGCATTGTAAAGTTCACAGAAACGAACCCCGTTGCTTTTTCAAATGTGTTGGTGCTGGCTGTGAGCGAACATTTTGCTCTTACGCAGCATTTAAAGCACATTTCTATAGAGATCACAATGAGTCTGTATCAACCGTTAGTACTAAAGCAGTTGTAGCAGATTTTAAATGTGCCATTTCGTTGTGTGACCGCACGTTTAACACGGCTAAAGATGTAAGTTAATATGCCACTTAAAAGAGCATTTAGCAGAAGGCCGACCTGTGGCTTGTCCAGTAACGGGTTGTAAAAATACTTTTACAATTAAATCGTCTTTTACAGCCCACATGTCAAGAAAGCATAGAGCTGCTTCAAATGATTCTATAAGTGACATTTACAGGGAAACTGTTTCTCAGTCGTCCACTGTCATTGAATGTGATGTTTCAAATGATGTAACAACACCTGAAACTACAGAATTGCCCCAAATTTCTAGTGAGTCGTTCCTTAGGAATATGTGTTTATTATACTTAAAACTGCAAGGACAGCTCCTCCTTCCAGCTTCAACAATTCAGACGATTGTTGAAGAGATGCAAAATGTGCATGAGTTGGGACAAGATTACACTTTAATTAAACTGCATTCCCTTTTAAAAAATGAGATGGATCTAGCAGATGAAGTTGTTAGTAAAGTCTGTGACTGTGTAAAGGATTCAGATCTGTTCTCTTTCTGTCATCAAGGACCACTGAGAACAACATATTCAAGAAGTCAGACATTCAAACAGATGTTCAAATACATAGAGCCTAAAAAGGTAACATTGGGAAATGATGAAAATATGACAAAGAAGTTTGCATATTACATACCTGTGAAACAAACATTGAGTAGCTTATTGGAATCGGAATTATGGAAGAATTCGCTGTGTCAGCCATCTTGTGAAATAGACTCGGATAATTTTGCTGACATTAGTGATGGCAAAATCTTTAAGTCCAACCAGTTCTTTCTTGAAAATCCAGAATGTCTGAAACTAATTATTTACCAGGATGCGTTTGAAATTGTCAATCCACTTGGATCTGCTAAAAAAAAGCACAAAGTAGTTGCAGTCTACCTCTCTTTGGGTAATTTACCTGCTCATGTGCGGTCCAATACTGATCACATGTTTCTCGCCTTGTTGTGTGGAGAGAACGACCTAAAGAAATTTGGAAGTGCTAAGGTTTTCTCAGAGCTGTTAGTGGATTTAAAAGATTTGGAGGAAAATGGAATAGCTGTAGGTGGTAAAGTAGTCAAAGGTGCACTGTATTGTATTGCTGGGGATAATTTGGGTTCACACGCCATTGGTGGGTTTACTGAAAATTTCAGTCGTGCTCAGTATTTTTGCAGGTATTGTGAAATCACAAGAAATGAGTTTCAGAGTGATAACCCAAATGTTTGTGGTCCACAGCGCACCCCTGAAACGTATGATTCTGCTGTTCATGATTTACAATCTGAAGACCGTCAAGACATCAAAGGAATAAAGGTAAACTCTGTTTTCAATACTTTGAAATCTTTCCATGTCTGCCAGCCTGGTCTCCCACCTTGTTTAGGCCATGACATATTTGAGGGTGTCTTATCCTATGATGTGGCATTGTACTTAAAGTATTTCATTAAGAAAAGACACTGGCTTACATATTCTGTTTTGAACCGTCGAATCAAGCAATTCAAGTACAAAAGTACTGATGCACTTACAAAGCCGTGTGCGGTCAATTCTGAGGTGTCCAAGCTTTCTGGGCAAGCTGTACAGAATTGGAACTTTTTAAGGTTGCTTCCTGTATTAATTGGTGATAAAGTGGAAAATTCAGAAGATGAAGTGTGGCAGTTAACTCTCCAGCTCAAAGATATTGTTGATTTGATTTGTGCACAAAAAATTTCATCATCACAAGTAGCCTATCTTGACTTTCTAATCCAAGAATATTTGGAATTAAGAAAGTCTTTGTTTCCTGAGAGTCCACTAAAACCAAAACATCATTTCTTGCGACATTATCCTGCACTAATTCTTAAATTTGGCCCCTTAATTCGATTGTGGACTATGCGTTTTGAAAGTAAGCATAGCTACTTCAAAAGATGTGCTAGGCATTTGAAAAATTTTAAGAATGTCTGCCTAACTCTATCCGAAAGGCATCAGATGTTTCAGGCATATCTTTCAGCTGGACCAGGATGCACTCCACTTTTGCATGTCAAGGACAGTTGCACTTTTTACCCAAGTCTTTACAGTGAATCAATCAAACATGCAGTGAGAGAATTTAACTTTTCAGAGGTTAATACTACTGTGTCCACAGAAATAATGTATAAAGGAACGTCATACAAAAAAGGACATTTTCTTGTGTCTAAAAATGATGAGTTCATTGAGTTTGGAGAACTTCTCATCATTTTAATCCAAAATGACGTAGCTGTGTTTTTTGTATTGGGAATACAAAAAGCTGAATATCATTTTGAATACCATCTGTACTCTGTGACTAAACAGAGTACCAGGCTACAGTGTCTTGGCATTAATGACTTGGTTGATTTTTATCCGCTAACATCATACATTGTTAATGGGTACCAAGTCATTCCGCTGAAACACAGCGTGCTGTCGAAGTAAAGAGATCTTGCCCACAGAGGTGGAAAAAATATACTAAAAATCATCATGTATGCTTACTTAAAATAACATATAGTTTAAAGAGATCATTTTCCCAAAAATTAAAATGTTAATATCATTTACTTACCCTTGACTTTTTTTTCAAACCTATTTGGGGTTTGTTTATTTTTTTTCTCAAGATGATATTTTGAAGAATGTTGTAACTATTGACTTCAATAGTATTTTTTCCTACTATGGAAGTCGATGATTACAAGTTTACAACATTCTTTTAATTGTTGGCACAAATAAAAAACCTCAAACTGGTATTAAATATGTCAAGGGTAAATAAATTATAGATTTAATTTTTTTTGGTGAACCATCCCTTTAAAAAATAGTAAGATCTGCATTTTGTTTGTTTTATTTGCAATTTGATTAACAGAAATAAACTCTTAATAAATTTAATAACTACATGTTTAATCACTACTTGCTTGATTTCAGTAATGACTGACTTGGAGACAACATTTCTACGTACTGCCATCACTGAGGTCTTGCCTAACCTTCCAGAGGCAACAAAAGACATTTTAGAGGAGTTATTGCAATCCATTGGAGTGGAGACATATGATGATTTTCAGTTTATTGAGGAATGCGATTTGCTGACAGCATTGAGGCCAATCCAAGCTCGAAAAGTCCTTGCTGCTTGGAAGTTAAGATGTAAGTCATGTGGTGCAGAATAGAATGCTACGAGACAAGTTCACAAAGTAACGTGTAAAAAGGTCTTGAAAAGAAAAAAACAACAACTTTGTGTTACTATTGTTTGTGAATGACCTTTTGCAGGCCAGACACCAGAAACAAGCAGCTCACCACAACCTTCCACAGCCTTGCATAGTTTACCTGCAAGCTCTGAATCTTCCTCCACCAGCAGCTCCCAAAGCCCAGATGTAGGCTGGGTGGATACGTTTCTGATACCATGGGATACATTTCCTCAGGAACTAATGCAATTTTTGGAGAGAGGAAAACGACTAAGTCCACGAATGAGAAGAGAGATGGTCCGAATTGTGGTAAATGAGATGATGCGAAAATGTTCATGCCCAAATAAAAGGAATTCTACTGAAGTTGCCAAAAAGATGGTAGCAAAGTATCCAGAGTCTCTCCTGGATGTAATAGAGGGGGATGTGGTTGGGCCAGGGTACCATTCTTTAGTGAAGCAGTTGCAGTATAGGATTGAAAATGTGAAGCGATCTACGACACCCAAAATAAGAAAACGAAGACATCAGACTGATGACTCTGACACGGACGAAATTCCTCCAGAAAAGAGGGCAGCAATTCAGGATACGTATGGATGCATTAACTGGCATGTAAAATTCCTGCCACAGGGAGAGACCTCTGAAAGTCAGGAGGAAAAGAAAGAGAAAATGAAGATAATGTCTCGTCAAACTGATGCAAACGCAGAAGAAGTCAGACATCTAATGAAATTGACTTTCTACACACAACGTAACCAAGTCAATCAGGGCAAGAATATAAAATGCCTCCTGGAGGATTGGCCATGGTGGTTTAATGAGCTTGGCATGGCAGTTCACTACAAGGAGCTTACCGGAATTGGTCTTTATGAAACTTTCACACGGAATCTGGACTTGAAGGTGAAACGACTACTAAACTACTTCAGTACTGTTGGTGTGAACAAAAACAAAAAGTTCCTGCAGGACTTAACAAAGTTTAAAATGATGAGGGGAGAGCTAAGTGGTTGCTCTGAAGATGTGAAAGAGATGTTGATGCTTTTGATTTCCTACTTTAATGAGAAGGAAGATGCTATGTTCTGTCATGTGGAGGACACATGCCTCGCAGAAGAGGTAGAGATGGACAAAGTTAATTTGACCCCAACACTTGTTGTGTGTGGTAAGTTTATTTGTTTGTTTGTTTTTTTGCTATTAAAATGTTTTTGTAATGTTTTACTGTAGAGCTAAAATATGCTTTAAAAATCAGAATTTAAATTGTGTTAGTTTGAATTATTGACAATTGTAATTTAATAAATCTGAAATTGTATATGCTGTTAAAAATTTTGAATTAAAATGTTCAAACTTGAATATTGAACATCTGAAGACAACTGAACTTTTCAAGGCTGAAATTTTTTTAGACGTATTTTAAAACTTTTTTGTTCTGAATTCATAGAATGGAGATTTCCAGTTTGTAAAAGTACAGTTTCAAGTTTTCAGGATGAAGAAATTCAGAACATCTAATTCAAAATTATGAAATTTAAACCAGAAATTCAGATTGTGAAATTCAAATTCAGCAGAGAGTAGGTCAGGAGTCATCAACAGAGAAGAGTAGACGATAACTGAAAAGTTAAAGCTAAAGTTAAGCATTTTGGCTAATCACAGAGCTGCGTGAGTTTACTGGTATATGTGAGGCTCAGGAGGACACAATTCTTCTTCAAACTGACTATCGGGGTCAGCTATTTTCAAGAGTTTGTGTAATAAATATAGACATGCTTCAGTGAACCAAATTCATATATTTAATTCAATTACATCTCATTGGCTAATCAATTTTGTTTTTCATTTTTGCTTGCATTGTCAAACTCCCTGCGTTTTACAGCTGTGGTAAATGACATATTTGCATGCACATGCTTTTTCATGAAATTATATAAGATTCTATTTATTACAATATTTATAGTACAGCATAGCATATAGTATAGCATTTTAAGGAAGATTTTAATGTTTGCCAAAGCCTATCTTCAACACTAAAATGCTGCCTCTTTTAAATATCATCTATTCACAATCAAGATGTCATATTTAACCTTACATTTATTTGAATGATCAGATTTTTCCATATATTTAAAAAATATTACATTATTTTTTGGCTAAAATAAATTAAAACCAAAATGTCCAATAGGTGGCGCCAAATCTCTATCTTTGTCACTGAATTGTTTATTCAGAGGCATTTAATTCGGCTCATTATAAATGAATTAAGTGACTCACTATAAATGACACGCTCAGAGATTCTTGTTAACCTCATTTGTTATGTGCTTAAAACTTTGTTTCAAATTGTAACAACATAAAATGTTTTAATAAGTCTATATTGTTGTGAAAAGTGTACAGGGAAAACCACTAGATGAATTTTCAACGATATTTTTTTGTGACACGAAACTAAAAGCATCCTTCCCCATACTTAAAGCTAAAATACATGAGTTTAATTTTACATTAGGCTATATGTAGACAAATAACATCGATTTTTACCTATTTCCAGACCCCCCCCAAATCCCCACCCTCATGGTGAGAGATTCCTAGTTTGACTTTTCGGTGATCGTCTACTCTTCTCTGTTGATGACTCCTGACCTACTCTCTGCTGAATCTGAATTCACAATCTGAATTTCTGGTTTTGAATTTTAGAATATTGAATTAGATGTTCTCAATTTCTTCATCCTGAAAACCTAAAACTGTACTTTCACAAACTGGAAATCTGCAGTCTAAGAAAATACGTCTATAAACAATTTCAGCCTTGAAAAATTCAGTTGTCCTAAATTTCAGATGTTCAATATTCAAATTAAGAAATTCAAAATTTGTAACAGCATATAAAAATTCAGATTTATTAAATTACAATTTGCAATAATTCAAAGTAACACAATTCAAATTCGGATTGTTTTTTGCATATTATAAGCTTCATACTTTACAATAAGAAGAAATTTGTTACCATTAATAATCATGAACGTACAACAATACTTATATAGCATTAATTAATTGTTGTTACTCATTATTATGTATTTCAAGATCAAAGACTGTCATGATGACATTAAATAGACTGTTCAGTAAAAGTATTGTTAATTGTACATTCATTTTAAATAAAGGTAACATAAATCTTGTTAAGTTTTTTTTAATTTGTTTGTATTTTTAAATTTATGGTATCATAATTAAAAACCAAATTTAACTTTTATTTAACTGTTTTCTTAGGCCAATCCTGCTTTTCGTCGAAGCGTTTCATGCTGTGTGTGGATCAAAATATTGTACATGACAACATCCCCTCCTTCATTTCCGCCCTGTGCATGATGTTTGGAAGCTATTATTGCTTTAACATCCATTACCCATCAGAGCTGGCATCAACCTTGGAGTTTTTGCAGAGGTATGTTTTTTTTTTTTTTTTTGTACAGGCTTTATACAGCATTGAAGTGGAAAAAAAATTAAAGTAACTGATGCAGTGGCTTTTTATGAATACTTAAATTGCTAATGCAAAGTTTTCTTTTTATTTTCCCTTTTATTTGTATAGGTTGATAAATGTCACTATAATTTAAATTAAAAAGGCATTTTTCCCAAAAAATAAGACTTTTTTTTTATCATTAATACAATTATTTTTTTCTCTTTTTTGCTCAGGTGTTTCTTCTCTATCAACCCAGAGAAAGGCACTAAAGTGGAGGAGACAAACACAGCCCGACTTCATGTGAACCCAAGAGTTCTTACCTTGATTCAGGCGCTTTCAGATCATGAATGGCGTGACGTCTAAATATGGACTGAAGTCAGTAAGATTTGACAAACAGTGAATGCCAGTTTCTCAGGTTTATTTGATCTGCCATGCTTAATGTATGTGTTAAGTTTGTACACAACTGTTAAGAGTTTTTATTGCTCTAGTGTTTTCTGAATTAGGTTATTTCTGAATTGCTTGTTTGTATGGAATATTTGTTTATAAAACAACTCTTAAATGTTCTTAAACCGATTTAAGAGAAAAGTCAGTAACATTTTATAATAACTACACACTATAAATAATTTATTAAGCATTAGCATATAGTGAATTCATTAACTGTTGAGCACTAACTCTAAATTAATAAACATTATTTGGCAGTTTATAACAACTGCTAAAATGCTGTATTCTTGATTTAAAAACACGTGTAATGTGCCTAATAATTGTGTTTTCATACTTTGTTAATGATTCTTTTTTCATTACTGAATTAAGTACTGCATTATTTACAAACCAGTTGTATTTTAGAGTATTTCAGGGTTTTTAGGATCATTTAGAATGAATTGGTAAATGGTTAATAAACTATTCAAATCAACATTTATAATTCTTATTATTCAGGCATATATTAATAGTTAATTTGTATGTTATTTAATTCTTTATTAACTCAACTTTATCCTCACTAATCCAAAGTGAGGACTATGCTTTATAAATCCCTTATAAATGACAATTAAATGTTTAGTTTAGTTTAGAAATAATTGATAAAGAAAAGTTTTTTTTTTTCATTTCTATTTATTTTAAAATCCACAAATGAAACTGTATAATATGAAAAATAAATCTTTGCAACTTTATGTAAAATAAAATCACTGTACAGTTTAAACATCGCTAAATAACATTGAAATGTTGCATCATTGTGTTAAATTGTTATATTGTTGTTTAATCCAATTTTATGTTATATTTTGACACTCCTGTTATTCAGCAATAATTAAACTTCACAGTAATTTTACTTATTAGATAAGATTGCAAAGCTTTTTGTTAATTTGATACTGAGCCTTTAATTGTCATTTATAAGGAATTTATAATGCATGAATAGTCTTCACTTCAGATTAGGTCACAAAACTACATGAAGTTGTGCTAGTAAAGCATTTATTAACATAAATAGTAACCATTACTATATGCCTGAATAATAAGAATTATAAATGTTGATTTCAATAGTTTATTAATCATTTACTAACTCAATCTCATTGATTTTAATTATCCCCAACTACTTTTAAATACAAATGGTTCATAAATAATGCAATACTTAATTTAGTCATGAAAAATCAATCACTCACAAATTATGAAAGCACACTTATTAAGCACATTATGTGTGCTCATAAGTCAAGAATAGAGCATTTGTAGCCGTTGATATAAACTGCTTACTAACATCTATTAATGTAGAGTTAATGCTTAACAGTTAACAAATTCACTATATGCTAATGCACGATAAATGATTCATACGTGTGTAGATATTATGAAGTGTTACTGGAAAGTCATTCATTTTATTGCCATTTATTGCAATTTTATTTTTACTGGCAATGTCTGCCATCTCTTTGCCTATTACGTTCCTTATTTGTTTCCAAAAAGACAATCATTATCTGTCACATGCTCTGTAAAAGGTGAATGTCGTTTGTAAGGAAAGTAAGCAATACAAATTTGTGTTGTGAACTGACAGACAGTTGTTGACTTGTTTATGGTTAATAAATACAAATTATAATTGGATTACTAAGTTTTTGAGTGCAGTTTCTATGATATATGCATATCTAGAATTTATATCCCTGAGTACTGTTTAACATACAGTACAAGTTATCATATATGGTAAAGCAAATGATTTACAGTTGCTACTAAAATCAAACTATGTTCAGTATATGAAACAACATTGGTCTTCTCAAAGGAATTGGTTTAGGTGTGGTTGTGCCATTTCAGAAAAGATTTACTTGTCTACATTTTTTGATTATTATGAATAAACACAATTGACTAAATTGATTTTATGCTGTTAAGTTGTTTACCTAAAAAGTATTTTCATTAATTTTTGTCATAATTATTGTGGCAAACACAGCTGCCTACAGAATTTTTTTGTTTAAATATTAATGTAATTATTAATTTTAGAAATAGTATTAATTAGTAAATATGCTGATTTGTTTTTTCACGTAATCTATATGTTCAACAGTTTTAAATTGTAAAGAGGTTTACATTTTTATTGTAATTTTTACAAAATTATTCTGGCAACCACAGCTGCCAAAATATTTTTGTAAAAGCAACAAGATTTTATTGTTTTAATACTAAAAATGTAAATATTTCGTACACAAAATTTCTGTAAATTTTACATATTATTAAATAGTTTTTTACATAATTATTCTGTCAATATACAGTTTTAAATTGTAAACAGGTTTACAATTTTATTGTATTTTTTACAAAATTATTCTGGCAACCACAGCTGCCAAATTTCTTTGGTAAAAACAACAAGATTTTTTTGTTTAAATACAAAAATTTTTGCTATTTTTTACACAGAATTTCTGTAAATTTTACATATTATTAAATAATTTTTTACATAATTATTCTGTCAATATACAGTTTTAAATTGTAAACAGGTTTACAATTTTTTGGTATTTTTTACAAAATTATTCTGGCAACCACAGCTGCCAAATTTTTTTTGTAAAAACAACGGAATTTTTTTTACAGTGTGACCTTCAAAACAAGGATGCTGGACTTTGCAGTATAAAAGCAGTGCTCCCTTGACACCCGGTTGGGCAGCTGTTTCTTCAAACCTGCGCACACATTCAAGACAATGAGCAGTCGTGTCCACCTCGATGCCAAGCAAACCGTGGGCAGTCGTAGATGGTCATGAAGCCCGAATGCCCTGGCCTGTGGGAGAGAGCTGTCAGACCTGTTTATATGCTGGCCGAGGTTCAACTTGAGTCTGTCTGCTGAAATAGAGGAAGGCCAAGGATCAGGGTGGAAGTGCAGCTCCGGGTAATGAGAGGAATACAAGCTCATCCCAGCAGGTTTGGTTGAGGTCAGTGGGGAACACTGTAATTACTTGGAAAACTGCATCTACGGGGCAGCAAAGGATGGGACTTTTTGACTGCTGCATGTATCTTATCTCAATTTATTTCAAGATGAAATGGTGTTGTGATGACTACAGACGAGTCTTCTTTTTTTTCCAGTAATGAGATATGGTCAAATTGTCTCCTGCAGTGTTTGAACATGACTTCCAGTGTAGGGGCAATTACTGTATTATGGAAGTTTATAGTGACCATATACTGGAAATGTAAGTCAATAGCTTTGTTTCCATCCAAATATGAAAATTAGATTCATGTGCAAACCTGAAATATTGAATAAAACCTTTTGCTAATAAAGCCTGTTTCCATACAATAAGTTAACGAGAATTAAATAGTCACTTTCTAATAAGCTAGGACCAAATATTCATTTAGTCATTGTCTTTTTGGCTTAGTCCCTTTACTAATTCGGGGTCGCGACAGCAGAATGAACTGCCAACTTATTCATCATATGTTTTTTTTACGCAGTGGCTTCCAGCTGCAACCCATCTCTAAGAAACATCTATGCACACTCATTCACACCCATGCACTACGGACAATTTAGCCTACCCAATTCACCTGTACCACATGTCTTTGGACTTGTGGGGTAAACCAGAGCACCAGGAAGAAACCCACATGAACGCAGAGAGAACATGCAAACTACACACAGAAACTCCAACTGACCCAGCCGAGGCTCGAACCAGCGACTTTCTTGCTGTGAGGTGACAGCACTACCTACTGTGCCACTGCATCGCCCGGCACCAAATATCAAAAATAAAAATATGATTTTCTGCAGTAGTAGAACCTATTGTGTCTTTTTTTTCTTATAAGTTACTTGCTCTTCGAAAGACAAAGATAAAATGCAATGTGTGGTGGGTTTTGGAGGCGCGAGACCACTCAATACAATTCTGGGAATTAATTATACCAAACTACTTTAATGCACAAATTCATGTGAATTTTGTGAATTCTATCAAAGTCCCTTTAAGGCAAGTAGTTTTACACGGCGACCATCAGAAATGCCTGTCGAGCAGTATGCTCGGGTGTTCTGTCTGAATGGAGAAACATCAAATTCTCCAAATATTTTGCCAAGCTCACGGTTACATTACATATTTGGAACCACCAATAAAATTAAACAACAACCGTCTTAAAAATTTAATTTCTAAATGTTCGAATCAAACAAAACAAGCATATTTTTGAGGTTGCCTGAGCTAAAGCGCATGTGCACTTAAAAGAAATGAGATCACAACCCCAACCTCATTTATGGCCATTCTACACATTATCATCCTCCGTATATTGATTGTCTAATCGCGCTGCTCTTCTAAAGTTATTCACAACTTGTTCTTGATGGCGAATCTCCTCCAAAAATGACAGCAACTCTTATATTACAAGTTTAGGGGTGTTTGAATAGTTGCTGTCATGTGATGGGCGTTTGATTGGACAGACTGTAACTCGCTTTTATTTCATACACATTACAAAACCAAACAACTTTTGTTTTCAAGTGCACTTGGTTCATTTAAAAGTACAGATTTCAAGCTTTATCTGGATATATTTCTTATGTCTGTGAAGCAAGTATTCATTGAGATTCCAGCGTGTTTGTTGACCACCAAAGTGTTGTAAAACCACATGTCTAGTCTGAGCTTCTCCGTCAATCTATAGTGATCAATGATTGGCTCCTGTATCTGTGGGCGGGGCTTCATTCGCCATATTGACCGTTACACTTTTCCCCATTCAAAAATGAGTGACATATCTTGTGAATTCTATGGTCTTTGACTCTGTAAATCTGTTTTTATCATAAAGTTTATGATTTTTTTTTATAATCGGATTAAACGTTTATCCTACTCAGCTGTACGCTTACATTTAAACAAATCGAGAGCCGTGGCAATGGACAAAGCTGGGATGCACAAGTTTGTACATTGGTCTCGAGTCTCATAGAGGAGTGGAAGCAGAGAAGGGATGACAGATGAAGATGACAGAGGACCAGGCTTGGAAAATGTGTTTGTTTTACTTTCAGTTTGTCTGTAATCACCTTGAGAACTGCCACCTGTTTCCTTCTTCCCATGAACTAAGAATTTAAACCACAGAGGTGTAAAGCCCCAAACCTACAGTAACTAACACTAACTGTCTGGTTTCTGGCCACCTTCTTGCTGTGAGGTAATTGTGCTACCTACTGCTATTTTGACTACTTGACTATTTCTCTCAGACACATATAAATGTAAACATAAGTTTCCACAGAGGAAATCAAATCTCCTGAATATTGTAATATAATACCATTCAAGACATAAAATACACATGCACAATTTATTTTTAAAAAGGAAAGTCCCAATGTGCTTAATTAAATGTATACTAGATGCCTGATATGTTGACACATCAATACCATGTAGGAAATGCATGCCAGATGTGCAGTTCAATCAATTATAGTGATTACATGAAGGATGTTGTTTGCTGTAGTAAATGTATGTCTATGGAAAATACGATTTCCATCTGAAACAAAAGCTAGTTGCGTGTAATTGGTTTTAAATTAATTGTCAGAATGTGATTTATTTATACATTTGATTTAACTAGAACATTGACAATGTGCTGTACTTAGTTGTACACAGTTGTCATACTATCTTTTTTTCACTAACTGCATGTATTCATTG